TCTTCGTCGTTGGTGAATGGCTGTCCAGAAATCTGGCGTTTCATTGGTCCAAAAAGGTGATAATCTGACGCGGCCAAGTCAGGACTGTGAGGGGGGGGGGTGGCAGAACGTCCCAGCAGAACCTTTGGATCCAGGCTTTCGTAGCGTTTGCGGTGTGTGGCGTTGCGTTGTCATGCCGCAAATTGACCCCGCTGGACAACCCGCCTGGTCTTTTTCGGCGCACAACCTCTCTCAACATATCAAGAGTCTGGCACTATCTGTTAGCATTAACGGTTAGTCCTGGTTCCAGATGTCAAGAAGCAGAACGCCCTTAGCATCCCAGAAAACCGTGGCCATGAGTTTCTTCACCAATGGCTTAACTTTAAACTTTTTCGGGGGGGGGGGGTGAAGACGTGTGCTTCCAAACCATTGTATCCTTTTTAATCTCAGGGGTCATGTGGTGTATCCAAGTCCCATCACCTGTAATAATGCTTCTCAAGAATGCTTCATCGTATTGTTTGATGTCTCCAGATGCGTTCATGACTCCCGTGACAACTTGGCGACAACGATTCAACAAAGTCTGAGACACGTTAGCACGTTTCGTCTTGTGGTCAGCTGACAGCTCTTTTGAGACCTATCAAGCAGAGCCCTTTCGATAGTGCAGCTCATCAAACACTATTCTATGGACAGTCGACTTTGAAATGTTTAGCGACTCAGAACTCTCGTGAATTCTTGGCGCCTGTCTGTTTGAATGAGTTTGTTAACGCGACTCTTGTTGTCCTCAGTCTTGGCAGGAAAAACAAGAAACTGGTGAACTTTGTCATTGACATAGTATGCCCCGCTTTGAACTAACTACACCACTCATATACCTGTGACTTTGCCTTTACTTTCTCACCGTGGGAGGACTTCCGTAACGAGTGACCACTATGAGACAGAGCAGAATTGAGGCCAGGGGTAGGGGTAGGGGTAGGGGTAGGGGTAGGGGTAGGGGTAGGGTTTGGGTTAGGGTTATGGTTTGGGTTAGGGTTAGGGTTTGGGTTAGGCCTCTTCTTTATTGTGTTCGGTGGGGTGGTCGCTCGTTACGGAAGTCCTTCCCTCACCGTAAACTGACTTTATTTCAGTGTGTTTTGCGGTCAGAAACCGAATGACAGACCTCATTTCTACCCATGACCAATTTTCCAAGGGGGTAGTCATCTTTGGAAAACTACTGTTTTCGTATGGTTGGTGCGATTCTCATAGAGTTCAATGGGAAAATTCCTAAATGATTGTTTTACAAGTGTGCGTTTACAGAATGTGAAAATATTAAATAGTTTTCAAATTACAGCCAAATTCAGGCTTTCTGTGGGACAGCCCTCACACACATATATACAAACACACAAACAAACACAACAACACACACACAAAACACAACACCACACACACACACACTCACACACACACACACACACACACACATACACACACACACACAAACACACACACAAACACACATACACACATGTATACACACCCAAACCAACAAACACAACACACAACACACAACACACACACACACACACACACACACACACACACACACACACACACACACACGAATGGCATTAAACCCTGTAGCGACATAGTCCCCTTCCACTAAAGCAGGTTCATTATAATATTTTTTAAAAATACTTTTACTGACCCTTTTTCTCACAGATGTATCCATAACGGTCTTGGCAGGGAAGATCATCCCAGCGTCCAGACTGAGTTACCATGACAACACAGTCAGATTCGTGTGCGTTGTCGGGCTGGTCTGGAGAGACAGTGGGGAAAACACATTATGTTAGTTTCAGTTTAAGTAAGTTTTTTCAGTGTTTTAGGCATATACCATATAAAACATTTATGTTAAATAAAGCTTCCATAATGAAAAAGTACAGGTTACTCACATATCTTTTATCATGGGTAAAACAAATTGAATATTTCTGTCATTGGGCTGAGTCAGGCTAGGAGGAATTAACAAGTTCCTTTGACCTTTTAAAGGTCTACAAAGAGATATTTTTTAAAATCACCTCGGGTTCTAAATATCCGCTCAACAATTGCATATTGTCGTCCAAACTTACACAAGGAAACAATTATCTAGCAAAACGTCACGTGCATCATACTGAACTTAGACAAAATTTTATTCTCTTGGGCTAAAGCACACAAAAATTAAAATTGTGTTTACATTTCAGCAAATTTTCGGTCAGTTGTAAATTGAAATGGATATCGTTTAATTTTTTTCATTTCTTGAATACAGTAACTTTACCAATTATGAAACACTTTTCCTGGAAAAAAGCTAAAATCTGGAAAATATATCTAAAACACCAACGTACAATATTTGACAATAATGCTCCAGAGTTTAGAACCTAATTCCTTTCCTTGGATTCACATGTATCCTCATCATCAAAGGGTATAATATAAAAGAAGACTTATACGGCCTAAACTCTGGTGACCTCTTTTCTGGCAGCACAGTGCCCATTACGACAAGGGCTAGCTACCGTTGTTATCGTTGGCTCCGATCCACAGAAAGTCAGCGTCTAGGCTCAGTGAGCGTCCTGTGAGAGTTGAATTGGGGGGGGGGGGGGGGGGTTGGGAGAAAGAGGGGGTGAGGTTTGAGGAAGAAAGGGGGGAGGGGAGAAAGGGGGGAAAGGTTTGTGGAGAAAGGGGTAAAGGGGTGGGGGTTGGAGATTCAAAGATAAGTAAGCACGTCAATTCAGTGAGACCTCTCCGTTTGATTAAAGGGGTCGTATGTGACTTCCCATTTCTTCATAAGGGTAAAAACTCTGCAAGGCTCGTTTATTTAGTTAGGGTATGTTAATGAGACGGAGTTTATTTTTGTCCCACATTTCTTTACAAATCTAACACAAACACCTTTTACTCGAGGTGAAAGTATTGTGAATGGGGCTCACAGACTTGTCATTTTTAGCCTCTGCAACAGAGCTATATACATTCAAGGTGCTGAAAGATTGTTTGGGAATGAGAGATGTGTGTGTGTGTGTGTGTGTGTGTGTGTGTGTGTGTGTGCGTGCGCGCGTGTGTGTGTGTGTGTGTGTGTGTGTGTGTGTGTGTGTGTGTGTGTGTATCACCTGAGCCAGGATGAAGTTTAAAGCTAAGAAATCTAGCAGCCTAACTATTCACAAAGGTAAACAGAAGCAACTGAAGTTTACAATTGCAGGGGAGCAAATGCCCACAGTAAAAGAACAACCTGTGAAAAGTTTGGGTCGGTGGTACTCAGGAACTCTGTCTGATAGGAGTCAAGGCGTGGAAATCATGAAGCAGGCTGAAAATGGGCTAAAAGCAATTGACCAGACAAAGCTTCCAGGAAAGCACAAGATATGGTGTCTATAGTTTGCCCTCTACCCTCGACTGACGAGGTCACTGACAATGTATGAAGTTGCTCTGTCGAGTGTTAAGATAATTGAAAGAAAATGTAACAGCTACATCAGGAAGGGGCTTGGGCTATCCCGTACAATTAAAACGTAATCCCTGTACAGACCGAGAGGTGCACTTCAACTAACTCTCACGCCAATCGTGGAGATCTAAAAAGCAGGCAAGATTAGAACCGTGATGATGCTGAGAGAATCAAAGGATCAGGAGATCAGCGGTAAACCTCTAGGTTTCAAAACAGCGAGAAAGTGGAAGGCAGAAGTTGCTACTGACGAGATCATCTCTGCATTGGAGCATGGCGACATTGTCGGTACAACACAACCTGACAGATTTGGGCTAGGTAATGGCGACTTTAGACCTTTCAGGAAAATGTCCCAGCGAGACAGAAGAAAAGCTGCAACAAGACATATGCAAAAGATGGAGGCAGAATTCATCTCATCCAGTGTAGCCAGCAAAGACAAATGACCAGATGGGAAGAGCATGTAGTCGAAAGAAAAGTCGGTTGGAGTGACATCTGGAAGTGGAACACATCTAGGCTAAGCTTTCTTCTCCGGTCTACGTATGATGTTCTGCCTTCACCGGTGAACCTGGTCAAATGAAAGGTACAGGAGGACAACAAGTGTAGATGTGGTAGCTAGGAACCATAAAGAATATTTTGTCAAACTGCAACCTGGCTCTTAACATATACACCTGGAGGCACAATGAGGAGCTGAAAGTGCTCACCACAATGGCGACAAAACAGGTGGAAGAAGGAAAATACGCCCCCAAGCTACAGAAGCATGGACTAACCAAGATTGAGTTCGTTCCGCAAGAAAGCAAGGTTCCCAACAGAGAGAAAGCGAACGAAGCCATGGAAGACCAGAGCGGAGGTACATGGGAGGTAGTAGCTGACTTAAAGGGCTTCGAGAGATTCTTCCCCACCCCAAAAACAAAAAAGCCAGACTTGGTGTTATGGGAGGAAAAAGAGAAAGTTGTACACCTAGTGGAGCTCACGGTGCCCCACGAGGACAATATCAATGCCGCACAGGAGCGGAAAGAAAACCGATACGAGGCACCTGTCGAAAAATGTGAGGAAGCGGTATGGAAAGTAACCCATTTTCCGGTAGAGGTAGGACGCAGAGGTTTCGTAGCAACTAGCGTTCGTAAGTGGATGAGAGTGGCAGGATCTACTGTAAAGAAAAGTAACGAACTCATAAACTTCATTCAGGAAACAGTTGAAAAAGCCAGTCACTGGATCTGGTTAAAGCGAGGGGACACAGGTAGAAAAGAATCCAAAGAGTTGGCAGCAGAGGAAAACTGTCCGACTAGCATGGAGACCTCACATCGGTGAGGGGGCTCGGTGCGTCAGAAAAGCTGTAGAGAGGAGGAGCCCGAAACAGAGATGCGTTCTCTCCTGATGGTCTCCATCCTTGAGTCCGGGATACGGAGCATTCGACGGTGAGCAGTGCATACGGATGTTTAGACTACGTACCTATGTGGCATAAGGGAACTGAAATCAAAAGCAGCTATTTATTTCATGAGCGTGTCCTTAAACTGAAACAGCCCAGTCAAACCCTCGCTGAAGTTACCTGAGAGATAAAACTGCTCCTGTACGTTCGAGATAGTGGCCAGGTCCCCTCCGGCCGACTGACATGCGTGTCTGGCATCCAGCCAGGAGAGAAGCTCTGTGTTGATCTGGTAGCAGCTGTCACTGTTGGGGTCGTCCTCCCAGCCTGCTCCGCAGTTCTTACTGGGTGGCGCTGGGAGTGAGAGAGCAAGTTGTTCAAGATGGAATATTTTCGTGAGAGGAAGCTTTTCTCATTTCATAATTTGTCTGAAAGGTGCAGAGACATAACAGTGATAATATAATAGGTTTAACAGTACAATTGTCTTGCCAATATAGACCAATCAATTGAAAAGAATATTTTTGTGAGATGAAGCCTTTCTTATTTTAGAATTTTTCTGAAAAGCGCAAAGACAAAACAGTGATGCCATGATTGGTTTAACGATGCAATTGCAATAACACCATTAAAAACAATTTAATTGTAAGATTATTCAAGGGGATGGAGTCTATACTTAGCCTGATGTTCATCTCCCACAAGACTCGGCCAAACCGGTGGAAGAGCTTTGAAAACGTATGCATGTATTCGAACCTCATGTTGTGTTTCCGGACGTAGAATGAGTGTACTATTCTTGTCCAGCAACCCAATCATCTTTTAAAAAGTTAAGATTGAAAAAGAAATAACACAAAAAGAGGAAGACAAAGAGGAGGGGGGTGAGGATGGGATGGAAGTCGGGTGGGGTGGAGAAGAAGTCAAGATTGGCACAGTAACGACTTCAATTATTTATGATATACAAAGTTGATAGGTTTGAAGTTGCGCCAAAGCAGCACTGAAAAATATCGCTTACATTCATGTGAGCTCTCCCACTGAAAAAGGAAACAAGAGGTGTGAACACATGATAAGGTAAAAGGAAAATTTGGCCATAAATTCTGAACGTACTTGACCTATATCAGGGAAGTCACTCTCTATGGGCCAACATCTGGTTTGCCGTTACGTCATGTGCAAAAGAATTACGAAATGGGCGGGGGGGGGGGGGGGTTACTTTCAACTATAGTAATGCGCACTTAAGAATTTCTACCCCCCCCCCCAAAAAAAAACCCCAACTAACAAACAACACTACAGATACTTACTGGCTGGACTTGTTGCCGGAAGGGTGTTCTGAACTGCAAGAGAGAAGAGAATATTATTTTATAATTTTGTCATATGAGGTTTTTTTAATTTGAATTTGCAGAAGATGGATTTTTTTCCTTTTTATCTCAGGGATTTTTTTTCTAATTTGGTTAAGCATAAGGTTAGGCTTTATCCAAGTCTTATACGACCACAGCATGGCATCTTTAGTGTGACTTCTTGTTTTCTTTCCATTTTTCTCTGGATAAAAACAACAAAAATCTCTTTTTGTCTTTTACTTTAGGGCTTTAAAAAACTGATTCAGGCCGAGGTGCCGCTCACAGTCTCCTCTGTTTAGACACAGGGCCGTTCAGGATGGCTCTTATATATTGCTACTTTTCTTAACATCACTTTCCTCATTTTTTTGCATTACCACTTTCATTTCAACCCTTTTTTTGCTGGGCGGGGGAAGCATTGTTAATCTGAACATCTGAAAATGCCACACATAGAGGTTTTATCAAATTTAGATATTTCTTTACTAACATTTTGTGAGACCACCCGTGAGGTCCGAAGAAGACCATAATCATTCGCGCCTGAGTCACGATTATTTTCGGGCGGAATCAGTTAAGACGTATCAAATAGTGATATTTTCCAACTTCTTCACTAGTCTACTGTTCATCAACTTCAGTGTGCCATAATAAGAATTTACCTTTTGAAAAATCGAGTCTGTGTTTTCTTTCATGGTAACAATTTTTTTTTACATTTCTCAACCTCAGAATTACAAAGTTCTGTCTTACCTTTTTTAGCCATTATAAGTTACTAACACCATGAGGCCAGACACCAAATGTTCTATCTGCTCTATCAATATTGTAAGATTATTCGGAGTCATTATCAAGATATTCAAACAATTACATTAGAAAAAGCTTGACAAGATTTGAAACAAACTCAAAATCTTTGACATCAAACGTCTCAAAACCAGGTACTGAGCAGATGGAACTTTGTAATTCTGAGTTAGCAAGTCGCATACAAGCCGGTCATGTATTTCATTACAAGCGATAGCGAGTAACCGCCCCTGTAGGTAAAGAATACACCTATGGAGATACTGCATGTCGTAAGAGACGACTAAAGGTGCATAGGTCTGATCATCGAAAAGCGCCAGTTTGTGGTGGGCCAACTACCCGACCCAGTAAAAACGGAAAGTTATAGAAACACGAACAAACACGCCTTATAATTTTTCCGTCTTGGGAAACGGAGGAGCTTCTGTGTCAGCAGGAACAATGAAGTACAGCAGACAAAGCCTAAAGGACTCTTCGGACGCGAAACATTCTCTGTCGAACAAATCTCTCCGGATTGCGTCGTGGAATGTTTGCACCATGTATGAAGCAGGAAAGAGTTCTCAATTGGCATAAGAAATGAAGAGATACAGTCTGCACATACTAGGAGTCAGCAAAACCAACTGGATACAGTCTGGACAGGATCAGCTCAGCTCGGGGGAACAAATATTGTATTCTGGGAGGGAAGACAAACAATGTGCGAAGGGAGCTGGAATTATTTTGAGTAAGTAAGCACAAAAGTCACTTAGAGGATGGGAACCACAGGGGGAGAGGATCATCATGGCTTCTTTCATTACCAGAAGTAAGAGCATGAAATTGAACATAGTACAGATCTACGCCTCAACAAATGAGGCTTCAGATGAAGACAAGGATGTTTTTACAGCCGGCTCCAGGGGGTCATCGACAAACTAAAAAGGAAGGATGTCAACATCATCAATGGGAGATGCCAATGCCAAGATTCGTCAGGACAATATAGGTTACGAGGGAACCATGGGACAACATGGCTTGGGACAAATGAATGAGAACGGTGAGCGATTTGCAAGTATCTGTGCTTTCAACTATTTTGTCATTGGAGGCTCTGATTTTCCGTACAAGAGGATTCACAAGGCTACTTGGGATCACCGAGTGGAGTAACAGAGAACCAGAACGATCATTTTTGTATCTCTCGTAGGATAAGGCGTTCATTGGAAAATGTCACAGTACAGAGAGGGGCAGATGTTGGGTCAGATCATCATCTGCTGTTAGCAAAACTCAAGCTTCGTCTAAAAAATCATGGATGCAGAACTGGAATCAAAAGAATGGAATTCCAAGTCAGTCTCTTAGATGGACACAAGAAAGAGGAGTTTCAACTGCAGTTGAGGAACAGCTTTCAACCTTGGCGGATCTTGGCGAGGAGGACATGGAGGTGGAGATCCACTGGACCAAGGTAAAAAAAATCTTTATTTCAGCATGTCAAGAAGTACTCGGTGAGAAGAAATTTGAGCATAAGGAAAGGATTAGCCAGCTGTCATTGGATTTGATTAGCATTAGAAAACAATTGAAAACAGAGACAAATGCAAGTAGAACAAGGGGATCAAAAGCGGACGCATTGGAGCAGTAAAGGACAACAGCTAAAGATGTAAAGAGAACACTGAGAGAATACAAGGAGGAATTCATGAACAGGCTGGCAGAGAGGTCAGAGGAGGCAGCAGCACGGGGGAACATGCGAATGCTTTACCAGTCTACAAAGACTCTTTCTGGATAGTATGGGAAACCAGAAGTAACAGTAAAGACAAAGAGGGAAAAACCATTTTTGGAAAGGAAGCCCTGTCAAGATGATGGGTAGAGCCTTTCAACAGTCTTCTGAACAAACCACCACCAAGTAACCCGCCAAACATTCTGCCAGCAAGAAATGAGTTATCAATCTGTTTTGATGCTCCTTCGAAACAAGAGTTTACGGATGCCATTCAGAAGCTGAACAACGGTAAAGCGGCCGGTCCTGGTCATATTTCACCTGAGGCCCTAAACACAGAGCCAATGAGACGGCAGACCTCCTTCTCTCATTGTTTACCAGGACCTGGAACGATAGGAAGTTCCCAAAGGATTGGAAAGAAGAACACCTTGTTAAATTTCCTAAAAAGGTGGATCTTAGCAACTGCTGCAACTACCGAGGAAGCACTCTCCTCTCAATACCAGGTTAGGTCTTCAACAAAATCATTCAGGGGAGAATCAAGTCTGAAATGGATCCAAGACTTCGGGATGAAGCAATATATTTAAATCACAAGTCGTATCGTGCCAACTCTTCAGACAAGACTGATTTATAATTATATTATTCGTTTTCTATTGGCTGTTGGTGTCAGATTATGGCACACTGTGTCTGTCAGACTTTTCCCGTTTGAACAATTTGCTTTATCTGCATACAAAATATCCAATACACAAAGGACTTGGACCTTTTAAAATAGCTCAGATGTAAGTATGACAATTATTTCAAACTGATCTAATGAGAGGGTAAGACTATGAGTGGTTGGAGATCGCCACTAGAAGGTCCAACTTCTTTTCTTGTCCTTTGTTATTTCTGGCTCTGTGTTTTGCTTCTTCGTTGCACACATGACCGTTATTGTGTTAATTTGCTTCTCTCTGCTTGAGAAGAAAAAGCAAAGCCCGAGTAATGTAACAAAGAACGTGTCAATTATTTTTTTATATTTGTATTGAGAATTCATTTTGTTCGATAAGCACCTGGTATGCCACTGCAATATTTGAATAGTAAAAGATCATTCCCCGTGGCTTTTTAAAGATAAACACCTGCCTTAATATAAGAAAGCATTACTTTTTGTTGTTGTTTAAGCAAAACGTACACACCGGTGGGAGCCTGACATATGAAACGAAGTCTGCTCTCGCATACGCCATCGTTCCAGTGATTTTGTTTATCTGACACAAGCTCTGCACAGTTTTCGTTTCCACCTGAGTTATTCGGCTCTCCGGGAGTCCAGTAAGTGAAAGGTGTCTGCAATGAAGAGGACAAGAGACGATAAATAATTATTATTAACAACAAAATTCTTAATTGATTTTAAAATATTAACAACAAAACTCCTAATTCATATAAAATTGTTAACAACTTTTTAATTCATAAGTGATCATAAGCAAAATGATAGTGAGTGAAAGTAGACATTTTAGAGAAGAAAAATGTCCCATCGCTTACAGGTTTCGAACCTGGTACCTATTAAATGAGACACAAACACAGCACCCCTAGACCACAACAGCCCCCCCCCCGTATTACTGTACATTTTAACTGCTTCAAAGAGCCTTTATGGGGAACATGCGGTTGTTGTTGGGGGGGGTTTTTTTTTGGGGGGGGTTCTTATGCGATGAAATAGTAGTAGGAGAGGCTGAGGAGGCTAAAAAGGAAGCTTCATAGAGACTAAATATAACCATAAGCCTAGACATCGTTTTGGAAATGCGGAAGCTTCTGAGGAGAAATACCGTGAAAGCGAGCATTTGTTAGTCGCCCTCTTTTGTGAGTGTGCATTCCTCAAGTAGACTTTTACCAACAACTTCAAAGGTAGAACGTTTCCTAGTGTTGTTATCATTATCCTGGAGCAGAGAATATCAGCTGACCAGAAAAGGGTTCGTTCCAAGAAATGTTAATAACTTTCTTGTTTATGACTCAATTGAAATCAAAATTAACCGAAAGTTAGACCTTACATCCGGATTACTATGTTTTCAAAAAATTCAGTTGCAGTTTAACTACGTTAAAATGATAATGCAGTTCATCCCTGTAAACCTGAATCTTTAGTTTAGATGTATCAGCAAACAAAATCTCCTATATCGCCCTGTACATTATTTGCTAGGGAATACGGGATTCATATCTGCAACAAACATTCTTTTCCAAGCGAAAGGTCCATTTTGCAATGGGCTACAAATTTTGAAAAGATGTCGGTCCATAGAAAGTAAGAAATTGAATTCTAAGCCCCGAGTAACACACGACAGGCAGCCTGTAAGAATAACGCACTCTTGAAATGGTTAAGGTGGTCCGTGATTGGATTACTTCTGACCAATACCTTGTCATCTTATCTTGTTTCTTGGGTAGCTTTGGACTAGGATTTGTGATTATGAAGGCAGAAAGAACCAGCACTCCCAGAAAGATAGGGCTGCTCCTCGTGACGCCAGAGCTGTTCTGGGCAAGGCCAATAACCATTTTGTTTACAGAACCATCAGAGCGACTGAGCACAATTGAACCCCAAAAGATCCGGACCTGA